TTATAATATGATATAAAACTTAAAAAAGTTGATTTTACTTGATATTGCCCCTTTAACGTATTTGCTCTTTAGTCAACCTTGTTCTCAGATGAACTTTTTTGTTGTTCCTTCAACCTCAATTTAACAAAGTGATCCGAGTCGTTTATCTCTGGTCTGCAGCCAATAAGATAAGAATCATATCCCAGGGCCAACAATTTAATTCATTAGAGGTGGGCAGCAAAAAGCAACATGATTTGGACCCATCTCCTAATTGATGYRATTCAACCTTTAATCACAATACAAYATGACTGAATGAATRTAATTCACAAGTTTGATTTACCCCACTGAGATTCAATGCAATGTAATACAAAAACAGTATGTCAGTTATTGAGGCCGTTTATTTACTGCCTAATAAAAAAAGGGCTGCTAACAACTAGGTTTGTTTTTAAACTGTCAAAACAGTTTGATAAAACCTTGATAAGAATAAACAAATAGTACACAAAGAAAAAAGCTTAATGCACAGATTATTACACTTCCCAGCAGTGGATGGGTTTAATACCACAAAAAAAGTATTTTCCATTTTATAAAGAATAAAACATGATCTATTTTTCTGGAATATTAGGGTGTATTCACACCAGCCCTGTTTAGTCCTCTTTAATCAAACTCTACTTCTGTTGCCTGGAAAGTCCGGTTCATTTGGGGAGGTGTGAACGTGTTATCAAACTCTGATGTAGACCAACTCTGGTCCACCTGAAAACCTAGGTTTCAGTTAGGTTAAAGTTAACTCTGGTGCGGTTCGATTGCCAGAGACCTCTCCAAAAGCARGAAGCGGACTACAATGCAGGACATTCGGAGTAATAACAGTGATAAAGTTACTCATATCTTGCAAATTCCTCGTTCGATGTCTGTATCGGACGTCACTGCTGTGAATTTGAATGCGCTCCTACTTGTACGCCACGTCACATGGAGTCGTCTCAGCCTCCTTGTGTGGGAAAACAATATTCTCCATAGTTCCGCCTCGTCTTCCTCTCACGCTGAGCTCTTTAATGAAGACAACTTGTTTGGTGCATTTGCCAAAATCAAAGAAACAAATCCTACAACCACTAAACTCTGACGTCACTTCATGTTTGATTACAGTTCGTGAAGAAGGAAGTTGAGCTCCATGTCTCWTTTCAGAGRTTTTCATGTCGATTCCTTCAGTGGTTMTTGGTGCAGCGCCCCCACAGGCGAGGGGGAGGAACTGGTTKTTCACAGGGTTTAGTTCGGTTGACACAATACAGTGTGAATGTGAACCACACCAACTGAAAATGTAAASAAATTTTGCAATTTTGGTCCCCAATCAAACCGAGTCTACCAAACTATCAGGTGTAAATACGACAATTTATTCACAATGTTTGTAATCAGAGTGTTTTTTGCCGTTTAAATGGGCACTTCTGCAGTTCTCCTTCTGAACTGCATCTACATTTAAATATATATGTAGTTTATTCATTTCATTTCATAAAAAAACCAAAACAAACACATTACATACAACAACCAGAACATTACACATCTGTTTCACAGTTTCAGTTGCACTGTGCAAGCGTGCAGCCATGAATTCTTTACAAACTGGTTTATTATTGCACCTCTAGTGGAGAGTTTGTTTGAATTTTCTGAATAGAACAGGAATGAATTTTGTTTCCTGGTAGACCCCTATCATGTTGGCGCTGACCCCGAGCAGAGGGCCCGAATCTGGGGGCACCAAGGTCACCATTGTCGGGGAGAACCTGGGYGCCGGCAGCTCCGTTAACGTGAACTTCGGAAATCAGACCTGTGAGCTGTACAGGTGAGTCTGTTCAGGCTTTAAAACTCTGGATTTTGTTCTTTGCATATTTTTAGAAATATTTTTAAGGTGCAAAATTGCTCACTTCATAGCAGTCAGGTAGGAGACGCAAGGAAGCCATTAGCAAGAACAGCCTCTAATTACAGTCTCCATCTCTAACATGCTTGTAACGAGGAGGAGACTGGACCAAGAGTCCTCTCTCCTCTCGCATGGCTCAGAGCTGAATAATGTCAGGGATTTGTTACASCAGCAGTGAAAGGTCAGCCGGGATCAAAAGCTTGAATAAACTCTTCCTCTGTTACTCCCACCAGGAGGAGCATGTCAGAGATTGTGTGCTTCTCTGCTCCCTCGGTGACGGGAGCGGGACCAGTTCAAGTCAGTCTGAGTGTGGACCGGGCCAAAGCTCCAGGAAGCCTGGCCTTTGAGTACATAGAAGACCCCACAGTCCAACGCATCGAACCCCTCTGGAGCATCACTAGGTAAGACAGAGCATACAAACACTTTCTGTGTCAAGCTTGCAAACCTTTATAGTTTTTTTTATATTGTTATCTGGTGCAAACAATAAAACACAAAAAAGAGCTTTTTAAAAGTTGTCTGAAATATTAATAATAAAGCTCAAACAGATCTGAGTTCTGCAAAGTTCTTAAGCCTTTAAATGAACTGCAAGGAGGTGATCTGAAACATATTTAAAATGCAATATTTAGCAGCAACATGGCCAATAGACTGTCTTAATTAGAATGGGGAGTTTGCGCAGCTAATTTCTTACACTGTTAACTCCATTACTGTAGGTTCACATTTTACAAACTCTATTTGAACGAGCTTCATTTCATTAATTCTAAACCAATCAGATTCTGCTTTCAGAATAAAACAGATGCAAACGATCGTCCTTTGTTCTGTAAAGTCACTTTTGTTTCAATAATAATTCATATTTCAAAACAGAAATTAAACATCGGTCATAAAGTTTTTATTTTACACACAGTTTTAATGGCAATGCACAAACGTTTTTGGTCAACTGATAATATTGTAAGTATAACTGTGATGAATAAAAATGAAACTTTTTTTATCCAATATGTCAAACTTTTTTGTCAAGTACTTTTTTGAATAACATATTTTTGAGCTCATGCTTTTCTAAAAAATGCCATCAACTCTCTATGACAGAGGAGCCCAAAGTGGGGCCTGTGGGCCAAATTTAGCCCGCCAAGCCATTTGATTTGGCCCACCAACAGTTGCCAAAGTTACAAGGTTGTAACCTGTTATCCTATAGGTAGAAACACAGTATTTCCATTGGTCAAATGATTACTGTATATAAAAGGGCTGTCGTGAAGGTAATTTTCATTCATGGTGCTGGCWTTATCTTTGATTTATTAGGATTAAACATGAAGCATGAAATGACAACAAGACATATTTAGATCAGATTTAACCACACATGTAGATTTTCACACCTTATAAGGCCACAAAAACTCATATTTTATCAATTTATGATATGTCCCATGAGCCTTTGCTACTTGAGCTTATGGCAGACTTTCTCCAAGTGCACAAACTAAAACAAAAGAGGGCCATTGCATAGCTTGATTGTTAAAAATGAAAGACTTTACTTAAAAAGAATTTGTATTTCATGTATTATATTACTGCATTTGGCCCGCAGCCGTGGATAGATTTTCATTTTGGCCCCCTCGGGGAAAATGTTTGGGCACCCCTGCTCTATGAACTTTGTAAATAAAATAAATGATTGTGTCCATTAAAGCATCAAGACTTCAATTTAAAAAACAAAATCCCAAAATGTTACATAAAACTTTATATTTTAGTAAAACTGCTAAGAGATGATGAATCAGATCACTAAATTTGGGGGAAAAAACTGATATGGTTCATTTACTGGAGGAAGTTCAAAATAAACGTTTCCTAACAATCAAATCTCTATAAAATCCCTGTCGACACATTTTGACCGACTTCTCGAAGACAACAGTCCTTGATCTAAACCAGGGGTCTACAACCTTTACAACCAAAAGAGCCATTTCTGCTGCTTGGYTCACTAAWAAAATGTGTCRAGGTGCAAAACAAGCTACAACTGTGATTATCAACTGGTGGTCCATGGGCCTTTTTGAGACCTTTTCGGTAACCTTTATGGCCAGTGGAGGTGACATTATAAAACTAAAAAATGTATTGAGAATTTTATTATCAATTACTACTTTACAGTTACAAAGGTAACTGATGGTTTTGAGAGAAAGATCAAAGAAAGAAGTTGGATTATTTAAGTAAACATCAGGCTAGCATGAACTAGCATGTTTTACTTTTGTATTAGTAGTATTGATCACATATTTGCATATAAATTGATTTAATGTGAGTATAAAAACAAAGAAAATCTGTTATGTTTGGTCAAATTTTCAAAGAGCCACTGCAGAGGGACCAAAGAGCCACATGTGGCCCCAGAGTCTCAGATTGCAGACCCCTGATCTAAACTAATGTATCCAGGCTGTGTGCAAAACAAAGCAAAAACTAAGATGTTGCAGCCAATTAAACATATTTGCTAAAAGTTGATATAATTGGCTTAAATGTTCAGATTAACAGACAAAAATCAACCCGTTTTACCATGCATTTCACTCAAACACTGTTGATTGAGTTGTAATGAATCTTCATATGTTGCTAATATGAAAATTAACAGCAAAACAAACTAATCTGCTGAGGAAACATTCCCGTTTACAGTTATGGAGTGCTTTACCTGCACTCCACCAAATAAAAGATGGCACTTAATTTAGGTTTGGGTGGGATTAGCCAGCACTATGTCTCTGCAGATTAGACTTCAGAGAGACACGCTGGCCCTCAGCCTAGTGACAGGAGGAGCTTTGTGGAGCTGCAATCAAGAGCCCTCATCATGAATGTGCATTCCCACTATGAGGCCCTACAAGCTTAGGTAGCCTTTGAAGTGCAAGACGATTGGCACTCTGTCAGTTCGACTAGACAGTTTTTTAAATAGTATTTTTCCTAATTTTATTTCWGCATTTCTTCAGGGCTATACAGTCCCTAAGTTTGCAGCACGGCTCAGGTTATAAAAAGACTAGAGAGTGTTGTTTATTCTAATCACATCTAGCACAGATATGTAAACAAGCAGCACCTGTATTCATGCTTTGCCAGTCCTCACAGTCATGGATGAATATAAAATAGCAGCCAGCTGGTTCTCCGTTTGATCTGCCTCTTCTGCCCAATAATAAATGGCGAGCTACCAGCTATACCTCCTCAATCATGCATTAATGCAAATTTTCCAGAAAACCTTGCCGGAAAAATTTGGTTTCTCTGTGGTTGCCGCTCTAATTAAATCATGGTGGGAGGAAAAAAAAGCAGCTTGTATTCATGTTCAGGCTACCTGGAGTGTTTGTGTGTTTGGACAGTAATTGGTCAGAAATGAAGTGCTGTGCAAAACTTTTGAGACGGCTTTCATTTCTTCCTTTTTGTTTGTGATGAGCCGGGCTTACTTGTACTATTTTGTTCAGATTTTTGTTCAGATTTCGAGGACTAGTTCAAGGTTTCTGAAAGGTATTCATCTAATCTTTGACAATTGGTTGTTTCACTTGCTTACCACTGACCTATGAATTATTCAAGCACAAAAGCAAGCATACAAMACACCTAATTCAAAAGATGAAACAGTCTTCTACACAATTTTTATTATTGGATGTTGAATAAGTGTGATCCCATTTCTTTAGTCAAAGTCACAAGAAATACCCAATATGTGGTATTATTTATTTATTTATATTTATTTTTTGCATAGTTGTCCCTAGAGCAATTCAGAGGTCTATAAAGTACTTGATAAAAATGACTAAGTAAAAGTAAAATTACATAAACAAAAAATGACTCTGGTAACAATAAATTTCACGGATGAGAAAAATACACAAGTAAAAGTCAGAAAACCGTTCACAAAAATTGGAAAAGTAAAAGGAAAGGTACTTTTACACACTTTCTAAGAAATAAACTGTTGAATTTACTGAACCAAACTGGTTCCACTAAGCCAGGTTGAGTAAATTAAGCAATACATGTACAGTATATTCTTTGCTCAATTTACTAGGCTTAGTGGAGCCAGTTGACATGAATTGTTGAGCAAATTCAACACTGTTTTTTTAGGGTGCTTCTTTCATGATGAGTTCCAACATATTTAATTTTGTAACAAGTAACTAGGTGTTACATTTCAAAGTAAAGAAGTAAAAGTAAAAATTTTAGCGTTAAAATATAACCAAATAAAAGTAAAAGTAGCTATTTAACAAAATAATTGGTAACATTACAAATCCTCAAAAAACTACTTAAATACTGTAATGAAGTAAATGTACTTAGTTACTATAAACCTCTGAAATAGTCCCATATAGCCGCTTTTTAGACAACAGCTATAAATTCTCTGCTCTCATCCGTAAATGCATTCTCATCAGAATAGTGAAGTTCTCCAACATCTGATGAGAACTTTTCTAATCCAAGTGATCCTCACTCATTATACAAGGAGGTTACTCAGAGGTTGGCTGCACTGAGGTGTCAACCTAGGATCATAAAAAAAAAGGAACTCGAGAAGCCTGAGAAATACTAAAGACTGGGGGGGGATATAGAAGTCATAGAAAGTTGAGGCGATTGGAGAACTTGGTGCTGTGACCCCCCTGGTACATCCAGGTGCAACCATAGAGATTTCATAAATTTGTATTTTTGCTCTACAGGTGAWTTTCAAAGGCTATTTGAAGATGAGTTGGCATATCTCAGCAGGGTGCAGGTCATAGTGTGTCCTCAAAAAATAAACAATGAAAAGATAAAGAATAGATGTAGAAGTTTAAAAAAAAACAACTTCTCTACAACTAAACAGCATCTGAATTGGATGTCTTTATGAAATAGGAAAAATCCAACAAAGAGCTGAAAGATGCATCATTTTTTAGTTGATCCTTTCACCACATGTCAGATTTTCAGTTCATAACACTTTGACAGTCACTTTGTTGTTTCAGAAATATTATAATGTTCCCGTCAGACTGTAGTTTTTTTTTTTTTTTTGTATTCCTGCAGATGCATCTAAAGAAATGAAAACATTTTGTGCCTTTGAAACTGGCTGATCATTACAAAGTGCCTAAAGTAACAATTCCAAACCTGCTGTTAGGTTTTCTGTTATGTTTGCACTGTTTCATCCCTTAGGTTTGGTGGGATTTTTTTTCCCTCAAAAGGTCTGTGTTATTTATTGTAGCAAAAAAAAAGTTTAAAAGGTACAAAGACTGGACCCAAATTGAGTGAAAACCTGTGAATGTTCAAAGGAAAACTTTAAAAGACCGTCAGAAAGCCTGTGCAACTATTGCACAAGAACACTTAAAAAGATACAATAAATTCTGGTTTCTTTGAAGCTACTTGTAAAGAAATCAGTGTTCGCTCAGGACTTTTGCACTGGATTTTAAATGTATTTCTCTCTGCTGAACAGCGGGCACACCACCCTGACAGTGACTGGGACAAACCTTGATGTTGTTCAGGAACCTCGAGTCCGAGTCAAATACGCTGGCCATGAGTCTGTCAACGTAAGTGAAACAAATTCTAAAATCCTGCTACAAGCCTTTTTACTTTTTTAAAATAAGATGGTTAAAACACTCAATAAATGTGTTTTTATCAGTTGTTTAGTAAGAGGTGCCAAGTGTAAAATGAAATGTTAACTAACATTTTTCATTATTTAGCTCACTTTTTGAGGGTAAAAAAATTTCCACTAACATTTTATTATTATTTAGCTCACTGTTCTTACATTTAACAAAATTTTACTAAATGTTAAATTTAAATGCTAATATATTGTATATTTAAATCCTAAATGCTAAATCTAAATTTTTAAATCTAAATGTAAAAGTTAAAACTTAAATTTTGTAGTTAAATGTTCACATTTAAATATTTTGGAATGGAACACAGCCTTTGCTGTTGGTGCTCGGCTCATGTTATGACATCATCATCCTGAGACAATGCAGCTAAAGCTTCCCTACAAAACATCAAACTTGCTGTGCAAGCTCAGACAGCAGCCATAACTGCCAGTTTGATGTCTTGCAGGGAAGTTTTAATTGCATTGGAGCTAGTGGTTGCTATTGTCTCAGGATGATGACATCATAACATGAGCCGAGCACCAACTACATAGGCTGCGTTCCATTCCCAAATTCCTAAATGTGAACTTCAACGTTTAAGGTTTAACTTTTTTATTTATGTTTAAACATTTGGATTTAGGATTGAATATTTAAACATACTTTAAATGAGCTAAATGTAAGAACAGTGAGCTAAATGTTAGTGGAAATTTTTTAACACTTAAAAAATGAGCTAAATAATTTTATAAAATGTTAGTGAAACTTTTTTAACGTTTCATTTTTAACTTGGCGCGCCATAGTTTAGGGTATATATTTAAAAGGGAAATAAAAAATCTGATTGTTAACATGACTTAAGTGGGAAAATAGATTTAAAACCAGTTTGAGTGTGGAGCAGCTCATGTCAAAATGACTTTTAAACACTGCCACTGAAAATCCAAAGTTTTGGGTGATGACTTATGGTGCTGCGACTGCCTGCCTGAGCTGTTCCTGGTGATTGATTGTACTAAAGTTTAGCAACYCTGATGGCAAAATTTCAGGCACTCTTCTGCCCCAAGTTTTGGACCATTCTGAGTTTTGCCAGAGAAGTATGATGGAAGGCAAGTGATTTGAGGTCAGACTTGAAAAATCAATACTGAAACAGGTAACGGATGWGTTTGCCAAAAAGAAAGAAAAAACAATGGCAGAATTTTACTTTGGTTGTTTGGCAGTGCAAAGAAGAAACTTTTGGACCTTTCGTGTTTTGTTACTGCTTGTTTTTTTCCTTAATTTTTTTATACAGTTTTGTGTCYGAGATATGCTGTGGGCTAATTAAATGCTGTGCTCTTGATGCCTRCTCAAAATCTGATCCAGTCAATTAAAACTGCATGACCTCCAGTATCACTGGCAGCGCTGAGTTATAAAAGGATTAAATCTGAACTTTTAAGCAAAWGAGGGACAAACAACCAGCCACTGGGAACTTTAATGAGGGCCCTTTTTACTGAATGTTTTCCAAAAAACAATTTTCATTGCAAGCTTTGTTTGAGGCTGGCTTAAAAAGGTCAGTAAAATAYGAGGAAAAAGCTCTATTTTCAGACAAAAACTTTAATGAACTGCAGAAAATCAACAAAAGTTTGTTTTATTGATTAAATTATTGGATCCATTTGAAACAGTGTGGATGGATGAGTAGATGGATAGATGGATAGATAGATAGATAGATAGATGGATAGATAGATAGATAGATAGATGA